GCTCTAGTAATTAAAGCACAGTGAAAAAAATAGGACTAAGATGGAATATAAAGTAGACCAAATGAATGACAACAGGTACAGAACCAGCCTTAGAACTGACAATAAAGACATTGAAGTGGTAAATGGTTTCTGTCTATTGACTATCAACATTAAAAAAAAAAAAAGTAATCAAGAAATGCACCACAGACTAGCACATGGTAAAGTAGCAATGAAGGCTTTGGAAAAGATATTCAGATGCCAGGCTGTGTCTGTACCTACAAGGATCAGATCTGTACGGGCAGTGGTTTTCCCTATGATACTCTACGGAAGTGAAAATTGAACTTTGAAGAAGCAGGAGAAAAAGAATATTGATACTTTTGAACTTTGGTGTTAGAGAAGATTCCTAAAAATACCATGGATGGCCAAGAAAACAAGCAAATGGATCATCAAACAAATCAACCAGAACTCTCACTTGAGGCGCAAATGACCAGGCTCAAATTATCATATTTTGGACACATTATGCAAATACCTAGCTCTGTTGAGAAGTTTATAATGCAGAGAAAAGTAGGAGGAAAGAGAAGAAGAAGAGGATGACCGGCAGCAAGATGGATGGACTCAATTACAGTATTGATGGGTGTACTGTTCGAAGACCTGAAGGGCCATGTCGGGAACAGAATGTCCTGGTGGGGGGGACGGACGGACTATGTGGTTGCTAAAGATCATCATCAATGTGATGGCACATAAACAATAACATAAAATGACAATCATGTAAGATAATCTTCATTTTGTTAAAGGTCAAGCTCTGTTCCCCAACAGTTTGGTAGCTCGTATGGGATCTTGGCTCAGAGGATAAAGCCCATCACTTTTCTGCACGTAAGGGGAAAAAGCAAAGCCAAGGAAAGCATAGATACCTTTTGTATAGTTGCTATTTAAGAATTACTCTATTACTGTGATCTTTATGTTCCATTTCCAGGCCCCATCATTTTTGTATGCTGCTAATTGATAGCTGCGTGGGGAAGAGGGAGAAGCTGAGGATAGCAAACAAATTCATGATTCCCATTACAGGAGCTCTAATCATTGCTCTGCTTATTTAGCATGATGTAGCGTAAAGCATATTATCATCTACAATAAATACCTATAAAGCCATTCAGTGTGGACACCTGGGATACAGACAACCTGTGCTATTAAACATGAGGCTCCTATAATTTTCTAAACATGCATTCAAAGGGTGGTAATTTATATACTGTTCTAAAGTTCAATTTGTGGTATTTTCCTCTTATTATTACAAACCTACAGACACAGCTAGCTTTTTTTTCCAAGTTGCTTCAACAAATATAGTGGATTTATCACAGTTCTGCTGCCATCTAGCCTCTCAATCAAAATGCTGCAAAACTGAAGCAAAAAAAAAAAAAATCATAATGTGAGCAGGAAAATGAGATTTCATGCTCATGAAATGATAGAAACAACCAATTAAGTGAACACTACCACTGAATATAAGTTGGCAACATCAAGTTAATGTGCTGACACAATGTGGAAAATGCAGGCATTCTTGACATTATTTATTTTTTTATGTGTTACTGTTTTTCCAGTCACCTGTCATAGGAAAGTTTAACCCTTAGTATTTAAAAAAAAAAAAAAAATGAAGTGTGCTATCGCAAATGGACAGGAATACTCACAGTGACATAATGTGGAAAAGAGTGCTTCAGAACAATATAAAAATGCCCCCTGACAATGAGTGGGAGATTAATAGAGGGCAGTATTGTTTGATTCTGACCTCCAGAAATGATTGCTTCCCTATTCTAGTGACAGAGTAACAGTGTAGATAAGCCCAAAGTCAAGTAGGATTTTATTACATAAGTAAAATAGGAAACAAATATGGCTATAGTTCACTTTTTTTTTTTTTGGAGGGAAGGGCAGAAATTGCTTTTCTGTTCCTTCAGATGTCTTTTCAATGTTGTCATTAAAATGTTGATGCCTGTGATTCGCAACTAGATAAGTATTAGATATAGAACATTTCCAACATGCATTGCACTTTGAGAAAGGGCTGTAGTCTGGAGCTATATTTTATGTTATGCCTGGAGATTCTATTTTCAATTTTCCAGGTATGGTATGAAAACTGCCATGACTTAAACCATGTCTAGTCATTAACAATCAATGTAGAAAATACTGAGTTGTATGAGCTAACCCGATATAACCCAACTTCTTTTGTTTCTTAAAATAGGGGTTCCCAACCTTACTTGCTAGTAGACATATAAAATTTTGGCTAGTCACAAAGCAAAAAAAAAATCAAGTGGGACAGAGACTCTAAAGGGCACCAAAGCGGGACTGTCATCATAGATGCTACACTAGAACTTCAATCCTAAAGCAATATAGGCAAAGCCAATGAATGAATCACATTGCTCTCCAGTGGAGCTGGGAATATTGTCCTTTCTCTCCAGCCATCTTGTCCTTAATATGAGCCAATATTATTTCATTAACTTTATTTACACATCTACTTATGTGACTCACTGCTTGTGATCCCTCACATGAGATGAATTCTACCATTCCAAAAACTGTTTTGCCTGCTTTACTATTCTAGGAATAAATGAGAAGACAACCCAGGAAGGGTTCACCATTGGTGAGTTGCCATGTCATACATGGCTGATTGGTTGCATTCAACAAGTTGACTTTATACAAAGTTGACTCTGAATGAAGTCAAACTTGACTTGTGGAGTTTTGCTTTGTTTGTCTCTTATTACACAATAATCATATGTGAATTAATTGTTGGCAAACACTATTATTACCCTCAAAATAATGTAAATCTTTTAAGCATAGATTTTATAGTTGATTGGTATGTTTCTTCCAATCTCATCATATCAAAGACCAAATGAAAGGTAAATACATTGTAGGATCAAGCACACAAATTATGTCTTCCTGAAATATTGTCCATCAGTGGCTTTCTTAGACTGGTTATTATCAAACTGGAGAAGCCTGAGGATAAAGAGCAATGGAAAATAGAAAATTTAATACTTTTGTGAGCATTCTTGCGTCCTCACATGCTGAGATCTGCATAGCCAACTATCTCTATACTGTCACAGATGTTTGTTTTAGCACATTCATCTTGCAAAGGTATGCCAAGAGAAAAGTGTCAGACATGCTAGAGTGTCTGATCTGCACAGCTGGAACAAGACTGCTAGTGAATAACATGGAAATGCATTAACTTTTGATGAGGCAGGACAATATTCTAGGGGGAAAAAATCCCTTGCAATTATTTCCTTTTGTTGTTACAATCTTTAATTTTATTTTGACCAAGTTTAGGCTAGGTTCACACATAGCCCTAAACAAGGAATTATTTAATCACAATTGCTGAATCAGTCATAATGGGTTGGTTAATGTAGGATTTCTATAGATCTGGCATCTAGTTTCAGAATGCCCTCTTTAGGTGGAAATCTAAAAGGACCAAAATGTCCAGGATTGCTCAGATGTTAAGCAGCCTTGATCCACCATTTCTAAACTTCCTCCTCCTCCTCTGTCAGGGCAATATCCTGTGGCTCTCTGGTGTTATTTCCCTATCTGTCTGCCCCTCCCCTCTTCACATACTTGGTGTTTTCTTTTGGACTTTACTTCCTCTCAAATCCCCACAATATCTCACTCCACTTCTGATTTAAAAATCAATGTGATGTGGTATCTAGGTGGCATAATGCCTAGAATGAATTCCTCATAAGTTTGTTGTGAAAATAAATTGTTTGTAAATTTAGAAAAATCATATATATGATCTGAACTTCTTGAAGGGAAGGATGAGAAATAACATTAAAAAGTGATACAGAGGAAAGTGGGTTATCAGCACACTAAACATCCTTGCTCAGAGCAAAGGTGATATAAAGATTAATGCTAAAATCCTTACTCTCATTGTAAGATCATGGCCTATCTCTTTATATCTGATTAGTGATGACAGTTTTTCTTAGAGTTATATCTCCCCTTTCTTCCAGAAACTCAAGGTGATTTACATGGGGTCTTTCTTCATATTAGCCCCATGGCAGCTACCTTGTGAAGGGTTGAGAGACAGTCACTGGCCCAATGTCACCCAATGTACTTCCATGACTGAGAGTAGATTTCAACTTGGGTCTTCCAAGCTGTAGTCCAATATTTTAACCACCAAATCACCATATCACAGTGGCCAATTCCAAAACCATTATCCAATTAGGATGGTAGGTGTGATTGAGTAATGCTCCACAGATTGGTTACTGCCATCACTTGCAGTTTCTTCTCCCTGAATTCTTACTACCTCTCATTCCTTTATTCCATCTACCAATTTTACCTTTGCCTCCCTGTTATCTTCCTCCAGAACTGCAAATTCTCTAGGATTGCTAGAGCTGGAAACCACACTGGGAGGAAGTAATGGAGGCAGACAGTATCTGTCAAATGAAGGTAGATATAAACTAGTTTGAACTAAGTTAAGGCTGACTCTCTATGTTTCAACGAAACCACATCCCAGGTGTTTCAAGATCCCAAACATTTCTTTATTTTATTAATGATGCTTATAAACCTCCCAAATCCTGAAGGACTCTGGGAGGCATACAGCAGCAAAAAGGAAATAAAAAATGATGTAACAATAAAATCACACTCAAAACATTCAAGTTAGGTTTGCTGAAACAATAGAAATTTAACTTGTTTATTGAATGTTAACAAGAGCTGAGGAAATGAACAGCTTCTCCCAAGGAAAAACCAAGCACTCTGGCAAGAGTTAAGTTGACTCTGTTTTAACAATGATCATTGGGCATTTCTCCACCAGGGAAAAGGGCACGTATGTGGACATATGGACACAATATATATGATCCCCATGTGCACATGCATTTAACACATTTTCATATAGTTAATTATGAATAGGTAAGCAAGGTGACGTCATGGTCAAGCACATGTGTTCATCTAGATCAGTGTTTTTCAAATGTGGCCATTTTAAGATGTGTGGACTTCAACTCCCAGAATTCTGCTGGCTAGGGAATTTTGGGAGTTGAAGTCCACACATCTTAAAGTTGCCAAGTTTGAAAAACATTGATTTAGAAGATTCAGTGCATCCGCTAACTACATAAACATTTTGAGAACATATAAGAACTGGTTTTTACCAGCCTGAGGCTAGCAGGTCATGCCAACTTATTGTGTCAGCTAGCATTTACAGCAGGAGATTTCTCTAAGGCTAAGCACATCTCCTGCTATTGTTTGCATATTTTACTTGTTTCATATTCTCTCTTTGTTAGCCAATCTGCCTCCATACAAGGTAGCAACTACATGTACATCTGGGGAGAGCAAGTTCCACAAAGTTGGGGCAAAGGCCTCATCTCATCCATACGCCACATAACCTGCAAGGGGTGTATGCATAGAGTAGGGGAAATCTTAACAGGCCCTTTCTTAATTACTGGACAATTTGGCCAGATACAATTCTTTATTGGGGAATGTTAGGAGAATTAGATTTCTTTCATACGTCTAAATTTTGACATGGTTTTCTAGCAGAAGAGGAAAATAAAGCCCTTATTGCAGCCATTTTATGATGTCCCACAGAAGAACACGTTGCTGAACCATCTTTGATACTCAAGGATCTGTCATATTCTATTATAGTGAAGTGTACTTGTATGTTGGTCCAATTTGGTATGAGGTTTGTGTTTGTTTCTTAGTTTGTGTTTATATAAGCCAAATTATAAATCAATGGCCTATTTTTGGTTGGGATAGAGACACTATCAGGACAATTTCATCGAATTTCTGCAAAGAAAGGATAAATGTTTCAGTTTCTCAAGAGTCGCTGTTAGCAATGGCAATAGTTGTTCATTTATTTTCTCCTGGGTAACGTTGCTGATGGTACTTTGGTTTTTGCTATCACTGCAATATGCAGCAGCAGCTGTAGCAAACGTATTGCATCTTCCACAGGGCTCTGGAACTACCATTATTTCATTGCGTTCCGACGGAAAACAAATCTGCCATGAAAAGGAAACAAAGGTTGAGAGACTCTTTTGGGGAGGAAGGAGGGACATACTTCCCCACACCCCACCTTAAAACATATTCTTAGAAATTTCAGCTGCACTAGATCGCACGTGACATCAATAATTCAATAAAGGGCAGCTATTACGAAAGCATCACCTTTTAACCACAGGAAAGGAAAGGAGCTCTCACTCTCAACACTTGCTGACTATTCCTTTAGTATGTGTTGGAGCACAAATGTCCTCTAAAATTTCTCCACCAGATTTGTGGGCAGAGAAACTGAGTGTCCTCCTGGACAGATCATTATACAATGAAAAACACAACATTCACACCCAGCCTTTGGCCACAGCCTCTCTAAAAGGTTGAAGAACGCCATGCTCCCCTTCTGAGAATTGCTCCAAAACCATCTCCTCTGAACGAAATTCAATCATAAATTCTCTTTCATCACTTGCATGAGAAATGGTAGAAAAGATGCAACACAGCTTCTCTGCCCAACATTAGGTTGCATATATATATTTGTGTGCTTAAAAAGATTCAGTGAGTAATTAACTGCCTGCATTGGATGGTGGCTTGCCCTGTGGAAATTTATACCTCCATTTGTTGTAGTAGAGTATTGTGTGGTTTACAGCCCAGGTAACCGCCAAATCCCACTTTTATAATCGAGAGAATAAATCTATAACATTTAGGCATATTAAAATCACTACCTTTTTTGTTGTTTGTTTTTGGTTCTTGTTTTCCAAATGCCAGACTAATGAACTGTTTGAGTCTGATGCGCTGCAAAAGCAATTACACGCTGTGATAAATGACTTGTTCGGTTTGGTTCCAGGTGCTGCACCTGATGCATAATGGGAAAACACGGAGAATAAATGAAGAGTTTTCTTTGTACATAGGTTATGTGTGAACAAAATGATCACAGCCATCTCTTCTCATTCCTCCAATCATTTTGCATCTGCAATTAATGGGCCTCAGATGCAGCCATTTCTGTTACAAGGCGCAGCGAGCAGGGGATGGGGAGAGCATCAGCTTAATGAAAATAAAGGATTTCTTCGGGGAAACCATTTCCAAGAGGGACTTACTTTAACGATGCTTGCATGAAATATTGCCATCATTCATGCATATAAAGGGAAGTGCCCCCACGCTTACTGAATCCGATACAAACGTGCAGTAAAAACTGGAATAACAGTACCTGCAAATAACATTATAAAATAATCATACTTGGCAATGCACCTGGGCTTATTTTCTTTAATAACCCATCTGCCTTTCGATTGGCTCTGACAGGTTTAGGTTGTCCATTTAATTTAGATCATGGGAAGGAAGAAGTCAATTGGCATTCAAAAAAGAAATCTGGATGATTTATGCTAAATCAGTTCTATTTTCAGTTGTTAAACAATGGTAGCAGCAACATTACTTTTTCCCCTATATTATTGAAATGAAAATATCTGGGAAAGGGACGGTTCCAAGATATACTTTTATGTGAAAGAACTATGAGAACCTGTGAGTTCTATTACTCAGTGACTGCTTTAATTCTAACTGGAGTCTCTTTTATATATATCTAAAGTTTAATAAAATATTATAAAAACAAAGTCTAATTGGATTCTCTTGCACAAGGCAATGATTGGCAGATTTTAGGATGTTTGTTAAGCATGCACACAGACAGCCTTTGGTTTCTAGCCTCTAGTTTCTAGTTTCTAGTCATAGAGATGTAGAATTATGTACAATCTACAATGGTCCCACCCCAGTTTATGAGCATATAGTCCCTGGTACCCTGACCATATGAAAGTATGATGAGAACTCCACTTCCATGTAACACATCCAGTTATAAGGCTATTTCTTTATATCTCCCCTCCCTCCAAATTACTCAAGGCAGTAATCACAATTTTCCTCCCACCCATTTTACCCTTGATCACTGCTGTGGAAAAAAAAAATAGATTAGGTTTATAGAGGTTTCTTTCAGATGACCTATCTGGACATCTTTGGAGAGCCTTTTAACAGATATCCCCCATTTTTAGAGCTGAATTTATCAGGTAAATTGTCCTCCCTGCTCACTCACATCCTATGGAGCCCCTTCTATGCTACGTTCAGACTCCACTCTCTCCATCTTTAGAAAAGCATTGATTAGGCAAGCCTTGAAAACTAAATATTTTAGAATCTGTGATTTGACCCTACTTTTTGTTTCCTCTTGTTTTACTGTTTAGGGTAGAGTTTTAACTCTATGTATCTGTGTCTATCTGTCTATCTATGTTGTTAGCCTCCTTGAACTTTCAGTGAAAAGAAATGCAAGCTATAAGCTAGAATAGATCAATAAGTGTTCGATACAAGGTATATTCAGCCAGTATCCAATCATAGAGAACATGAAAAATATTCTATTACACATACATTTCTAAATAAATAGACTGAACTCTTTCCATCATGCAAAATTTGCACAATGTTTAAATCAGTCTCATGCTGAGTTGGGGAGTGAGTTTGGTGTCCATCAAACATATGATATTTTCTCTAAGACAGTCAAGGGCTTTTATTATGTTAAGTCTGACTGACAGCAGTTCATCCACAGGAGGACTCACATTACAAGAGCCTATTTTCATTACATTAACAGAGTTTCTCCCTACGTTCAATAATTGCAGAAGGAATGGGAGTTTCTTAAGTTGTATTATATGTTAGGTATCAGGAAAAACATTGCAGAAAGGATGGATGGTATGCATTTTGATATATTTCTAGATTCTGCCTTGTAAGCAAATGGCCAATGGGTGGGATTTAATTCCTAAATGACAGACTTTGGGAGGTCAATGGAAAAAGGCAAGTTCATGGATTTTAGCAGGTAGAAGGAAGAGGAGATTAAAAGATGAGCAGAAGAAAGGCAGCTAGACAAAAGAATAGAACAAACTGCCATGAATCCTTTCTCTTTAGCAATAATGGTTTTCCTGTGCTTCTCCCAAGAACTTCCTGATCAACCTTCATCCCAAAGCGCATATGCACCTTTTCATTTCCATCAGAGATTCTTCTCATCACTTCTTGGCAAGCATGAAATTTTTTCCCCTAATCCATCATCTGATCACATCACATGCCCAAAGTATGATCTGCTTGCTGATCATTGCCCTATTGGAACTTTTACTTTAATTTGCCCAGGCATATTGATTTTTTCTTGAAGTTTGTGATACTCTTAGCAGCCATCTCCAAATCCATAATTTGAAGGTGTTTATTTTCTTTCCCACGGTGTTTCTCAACAATCCCCTTTCACAACTGTAAACTACCACTGATAAAGCAATTGCTTTAATATTCTGATTACTCTTGTCATTGAAACGTTCTCATCTTACACCCTGGGTTTAATCTCTTTATTTCTCCAATACACCATCCATCTTTAGCTATTCTTGAACCTAAGAAAACAAAACTATCTCCTGGTATTTCATCACTGTCAACTATAAATTCACCAAGCATGCTGGTTTTAATGTTCAACGTTATCCCAGATTGTCCACTTTTCCTTTATACTTTTATAATTGGTTCTTCTGAGTTTTTTTTCATTTGTGCCTAACAATATAGTGCTATCTGTGGATCTCAAATTATTAGCATTATGACCTCCAATTTTGTTTCCAGCTGTCACCTCTTCTAATCCCTGCCATTCATATATTTGATGCATAAGCAAACAGATAAGCAAATAAATAATACCTATCTTTAACTCAATTCTAAACTGGCCTCTTTCTCAAAATTCAGTGGTTACTATGAACTGGAAACTATTGCAATTATTTCACTGATGAATAATCAGCTGTTCTGGCTCACCTATTAGTCTTTATATGTTCCTGATCTGACATGATCTATACAATCTACACTATTCTCTTTTACTTCTCATTATCTATCTTTGTTAGTTAACTGATCCTGAGTCTCTCTGGTTTTTCTGAAATGGGTCTGTTCTTTTGACATTTCGCTCCTTCTTTATGATCCTATTTTTATAAGATTTTTAGCAAAACTTCACTTGTGTGAGGAATTAGTGCTGTATAGATACTAAGCCACACATTCCTCTTCCATGTTGCTGACACAGACCCATTAGCAAATTTGCCTCTATCAGATTTTTTCTCCTGATTAATCTTGGTTATAAATTTTCCTCTTGGTTTTTTTCCCCCTTGTAGAAATTGCTGTATTGTTGTATTTTTTTATACAATTACATAAGGCTTTCAGCTTTCTTTGTATGTGTTCTACAAGCTACCTTGATCTTTCCCTCCCTGAAGTTCTTGAAATATATATTTTTTACACTTTGTTTTTCATGGTATCTCTTCCCTGTTATACACTTATACCTCTTGTAATTTGCCATATAATTCCTAAACATCTTTCTCCATTATATCTGTAGCAATTGCATATATTTACATAGCATTAATGCTTACTGTATATCCACTAATACTTTTTTAAATATAATTTTTACTAAGAATTTAAATTACAATAGTAAAAACTAATACAAACTAAACTTAGAGAAAGAGAGGAGAATAGAAAAAAAAGAATAAAAAGTGCAGGAAAAAAAAGACAAAGAATGAAAGAAGAAAAAGAAAAGAAATATATAAAGAAGTGACTTCCAACCTTCATCACAACAAATTTAGTGACTCTTCACCCCTGATAAAGTACGAACAGATACCTCTTCAACCCATATCCGATCCCTTATCTATAAGCAAATCCATTAAACATCAACTTTTCAATCCTGGTGTCAGCAAAAA